GGGGGGGGGGGGGGCGGCTCCCACCGTCAGCCGCACGCAGGGGCTCCCGGCGCCGTCGTGCTGCGGAAACGCCACGGAATCGTAGACGATGCCCAGCAGCGCTTCGTCCTCAGAGGAAGGAACCAAATGCCCAAAACCCTTCAGGGTTTGGGGTCACGGGGGTGAGCGGGGCTGGGGGGCACCGTGGGATCTGGGGGGGGTCCGTGGGGTCGGGACTCACGGCCACGGGCAGCGTGGCGCCGCGGTACTGCAGGTTCACCACGGCCACCGTCACGGCGGGGATGCGGCTCAGCTCCAGGGCCAACGATTCCGCCTCCGGGGGCAGCACGCGGGCCAGGGCTGGGAATGGGGTCGGGGGGGGGGGGGTTTTGGGCGGGGGCCCCCATAGAAAAGGGGGGGTCACCCCCAATCCCCCGCCCCCCCCCCCCCCCCAGCACCCACCTGCGGCAGGCAGGGCGCTGATGACGTGGTCTGCGGTGATGGTGCTGCCGGGCAGGGTGAGCTGGGAAAGGGGGGGGGAGAAAAGGGGGGGGGGGGTCCTGGCAGCTCGAAAATGTGGCGTGGGGACCCCAAAACCACGGGGAGGGAATTCAGAGCTTCCCCAAATTATAGGGACAGAATTCAAGGGACCCAGAACCCCCGGATTGGGAGATGGGGACCCCAAAACCGCGGGGAGGGAAGTCAAGGAGTCTCCAAACTATGGGGACAGAACCCAGGGGTCCCAGAGCCCCCAGACTGTGCGATGGGGACCCCAAACAGCAGCGAGGGCACTCAGGGATCCCCCAAACCACGGGGACAACCCGGGGTCCCCAACACCCCCAGACCACAGAAGGGAACCCCCAGACAACACAACGCGACCCCAAGGGACCCCAACACCCCCCGAACCCACAAGCTCAGGCTTCCCAGCCCCACCCGAGGCCTCGCGGGGTGCCACCACGGGGTTCCCCCCCCACCTGCCAGGTGCCGTCGTGCCGCAGCCGCAGGCGTTGCAGCTCCGCATGGAGCAGCATCTCGGCGCGGCGCGGCCGCAGGAAGGCAGCGATGGCTTCAGGCAGGGTCTGCATCCCCCCCCTCAGCCCCCATTGCGTCCAACGTTCCGCCCGCGACCTCAGGAGCAGCGCTGACGCGGCGCCGCCTGGACGCCCTGCAGGGGGACAGCGGGGGAAACGCCGGAGCGTCGCTTCTGTGTCCCCAAATGGT